TAAAAATAAACCAAGTCAGGTTTGTATATGTAAAATTGTTGACATCAATGATGTCTTTCCATATTCTTATCTGGGCTTAAGAAATACATTCTGTATTTTTCCAGATTCTTTGTAGCCTTTGAAAGATTTTTACAGTACATATGTCTTGACTGAGCTGTTCTTTCTTAATACAAAAGCTTGTATAATTTTCTTAACTTGTACAGTTGGTAAACTTTTATGAGAGGAATTGATATCTGAGTCTGTCAGCTTTCATTTTATTTTGCTATGGTTTTTCTAATGAATTTTTAAGTGTTTTGTGTAGTAACTGAGTCATGTTTCTTATTCAGGTGGTAAAAGCATTCATGAAGGATTGTGAAAATTTTTTTTCAATTTTTTACTTATGGACAAATAGTGTGATAATTCTCAAATTAAGCATGATACTTAGATTTCATAGTTTGTATTTGCTATAATTTTCAAAATTATTTTTGAAGCAAGACAAACAGTTAATATTGGCTTAAATGCTTAAATGTATCATGCTGACCAGAATCCTGTTCAGTTATTTTTATATGCATTATGAAATTTTCCATTTTTGCATTAAATGAACTGGGGGAAAGGTCAAGTGATATTTAGATAATTGGCACACACAAAGAATTGGCAGGCAGCAATTTTGATTTTTAAAAAGAAAAAGTGAAGTTAGAGAAAAGTTTTTGGACTTTTTCAGTTACAATCTAGTTTTTCAGATTCGACAGTATATTTCCAAAATGAAAATAAGTTATACAGTAACTATTGTTCTGTGATTACAAATAGAATCATCCATTTGCATAGCTTTGCAAAAGTGCCATTTTATTTTTAGTGCAAAATTCTTGTTGAAAAATGTAGTTTTATACAGCTGATAGACCAACCTATATCCAAACTTTTATAAAAGATTGTTACCTATTGTTTTTATCACACAGGCATACCCCAAATGCTTCTACCAATTCATTTCCAGCCATCAGTTCAAGAGCTGATGCCTTTTTAAATCTAATGTGATTTTGTTTTTAATGGCTAAGCTGTCCAATGCAATTGAGTAGAGGTTTACACTGAGACATTATGGTTTAGGCCTTACTCCATGAAGTATTACTATTAACATATGTTCAGACTGCTTCCCTCCACCAGTGTGAACAAGTCCCCCTACCCCAAACAGTGTTAAGAGCCACTCTACGACACTTGACTGGCTTCATATAATGTGCACTCACTGTTACAGAATCCCAGTAAATCCAGGTTTTGGGTGGAAGTGTTGAGAAGCATGAATTTTGTTTTGTTTTTGTTTTGCCTAGAACATTAATTTATCCAGAATGGCAGCTTTAACATATGGTCACAATCCATTTTCTAAATCAGATTTTATTCAAATGAATCCAAAGTATCCTAGCTCTTTGTCAAAGACTATAGAAATGTTTCAAACAAATAGTAATGTACTTTTTAAGTTGTAATATTTGAGATACCATTTTCACCTTTTATAAAAGATGCATTTTGTTTGCAGTGTGTGAAGTTGTTGAATACAGCACATGTATACATGTTAGGAAATCTTTTCTTCTTCTTTCTTTTTAAAGTATGCCTAATGAAAGACATTCCACTCTTATAATACATAATGCTCAGCTCCTCATAAAGGAATATTTAATTATATTTTGTGTTTATATAGGCATTTCACACAGTACTTAGTTATAAGTCATTGCACTATGAAATTTGTAGTAATATCATGAATCTAATTTGCTTAATATTTACTACATTTCATAACTCTTGAACTCCTGACAAATTGCATTAGGAAAAGAAGCCTTTGTTAATAGCTACTTAGTCTCTCTGACCTCCAGCAAAGCACTGTCAATTTCATTTGGAATGGTTTTCTGTTCTATGATGTGTCTTCAGCTAGAATTCAGAATCTTCAACTCAGTTCAACATAAGTCTGTTGAGCTTTAAAATGTATTTGAAATAATATTTAAATAGGCATTTAAAATTATGAGTTGGATGTTTTTAAATTTATGCATAGTAATTTTGCACTGTAAAATAATTCCCTTCTCCCATTCCCTGTCTGCCATTCTGAATATGCTTATTAAAATATTTTTTTAAACATATTTGCATATTTAATGTTGTGTGAATGATTTTCATTACATTGATTTACTAGAATTATAGGTTTTAATTTTCTATGATGCACATTGTTTATAGTACAAAACACATGCAATCTGTTGCTCCTGCTCCTAGACATATTCCACGAAGTAGTGTTTCAGTAGCTCCAGTCTCTTCTACCTCATATTGGATGATGTATTTTTGTCCTTTTTTTCTCTTCAGAGATATCCTTTGTGCTATGGACTGCTAGTTACCTGTTTCTCTTCTGAACTATATAATTAAAGTTACTTGTTTCCTTCTTTTGCAGACCAGACAGCTGTCATAGCAAAATACAATATCACATATTTTGCAAAAACTTCTGTCACCATATTGCGCTACTCTTAATGGAAAATTAAGAGTGGGCACTTTGAGCCCTAGCCGGTTTGCTCAGTGGATAGAGCATCAACCTGCGAAATTAAGGGTCCCGGGTGCAATTCTGGTCAAGGGCACATGCTTGGATTGTGGGCTGGATTCCCAGTAGGAGGTGTGCAGGAGGCAGCCAATCAGTGATTTTCTCTCATTGATGTTTTTCTCTCCCTCTCTCTTCCTCTCTGAAATCAATAAAAAATATATATATTTTTTAAACTGGGCACTTTGAATAAGTGTTTCTGAATTTCCATAGGTAAGATGTATGCTGATGACAATGGGCTGTGTAACAGGCTCCATATCACTATTAAATGCCAAATCAAAAATGAAGATTATCCCAACTATAATCTACATTCATGAAAAAAGCCACTGTGAAAAATCATATAACATTATGGGAAGGAAAAAAAGGAGTTTCCAAATTTTAGTCTGTTAATTCTGTCTCCCTAAAAATGATTTTTCTGTATCACATAATTCTGATTATTTAAATTTTTTGTAATAAAATCAACACTGTTCTTTAATCAATTTTATCCTTTGCAAAATCTTAAAAGGGTCATCCCTCTAAGTTGCAGGCTGATTTTATGTATTTAATTACTTGGTTAGAATATCTTCTAATACCAATTTTCTGTTAACTCATTATGTGCTGGTGTTTTTTCACATCTCTGTGTGTGCATGGAGATTTTCTTTTTCTGAACTAGGATATCATAGATCCTATGACTTATTTAGCGTGTATATTATGTCATTTTGCTTTAAGTGTAACTAATCCTCTTGTCCAAATTGATGCTAAAGGCAAGAAGGCATGAGCAGGTAAGTACTGTGGTGGAAGGCTGAGTACCGAGGGCAAATGGAGAGGACGGATCTCAGGGAGTCCACTGAACCTGTGGTGGCCAACCTTTCGGACCTCCTGGACCACCGGTCCACAGATCATATAATTCTAGCTAAGTAAGGTTTTCCTCCAACTTAACATTTAAGTTAGACTATAACCCAATATGAAACAAATGAACAATTCCCCCCAAGAAAGACCACTTATTTTTAACATATACTGCAGGGTTTACACATTATTACTCAGGACTTGCCCATTTCTCTTATCATTCACTATCCTGATTTCCTAAAATTTGGAAGAGGTGATGCTGACCTTCCTTGCTTTTTTAATTTTTTTTTATTTTTTTTTTTTTTGTGGCTCCAAGAATTTTGAAACCCTTTTTTTCCTCAAAAGGTGTCTGGTTAAATTAGGGAAACAGCATCTCCTATTGCTTTTGTGTAACTTGACAACATTGCACTTTCCTTAAGATCTACTGATTTGGGAGGGTGTTGGGTTTGAGAAGAAACAATATGGATGCCACTCACGATATTGCTGGCTTGAATCACCCCCTGGGCTCCACAGAGGGCCTAGGTCAACTTTTGTGGCTTGGGGTACCAGCAGTAGTATTTTGTCTTCTTTAGTTGAATTTGAGTAGATTAAGTTTGCTGTTGCAAGTCATCATCTAGAGTTGAAGTTTAGAAGTGTTTATGAACCAGTGTCATTTTCAATAAAGACGTGTTGACAAGATATATCCGATAGGCCAACGGGGAAAGCAGTGGACTTAATTAGATGTTTGGAGTCATATTGTTTACCAATACTTGTAAATATTCCTTTTCAGAACATAGAGTCAAATTCCCACAGTACCTGGCCTTGCGTTTCCTTATCTCGGACTATACCTTAGACTAGGGGTGTCGAACTCAATCAGAGAAGGGGCCAAAATCTAAAATCCAGCCTAAATCGCGGGCCGAATGGTTTACTGAACAGTCATAAACTTAACTAGTGCTCTAGTTAACTATACAATTTTACCTACATGTTCCCGAAAATTCTAGTTTAGCACTTCTTAGTTGGGATTCAGGAATCTGTATTTTACCTATATGTTCCCCAAAATTCTAGTTTAGCACTTCTTAGTTGCGATTCAGGAACCTGTATTTTACCTATATGTTCCCAAAAATTCTAGTTTAGCACTTCTTAGTTGGGATTCAGGAATCTATTTTAACAACTCCACCAGGTGATTCTCATCATGAGAGAAGGTTGGGAAACACTGCCCTAGACCATACTTGCATTTCAACCAAGAGGTAGTCTAAAAATATGTCCTTGATTCAGAATCTTGCTCAAAACACACATAGGCTTTAATACCATGCTACCTCTTTGCATCCCGTTCATCCAAATTCAGCCATATTTTAAGAATGATTTGGCCATTACTTATACTAAAAACCACTACAGTGCCCCTCTGTAGAATCAGGAAGATACCCATTCACTGTATTACAAGGCTGTTGTGATTATAAAATCACATAGGAAAATCCATTTCTTGAGAATACAAAATAGTAATTTAAAGTCCCTGTGGCCAGGAATCTTCAGATTTTAGAAAGGAAGTGTATTTTTAAAAAATCCACAGCAGGGCCTAGAACCTATGGGGAAGGCACTTAGGTCCACAATGAGCTATATTAATATGCATACAAATTTCAAGTCAGATATTGCTTCCAGATGAATTTGGCAACAAACTCAGGAAAGAACTTTTTCAGAGCACTGTGGCTTTCAGAATTACAAACCTGTAGTAGCCCTCATAGTTTTGCCAGCACTTAACGCGGCAGCTGATTTGTTATGTATCTGGCAAGAAAGCTTGCAAACAGGAAGCCGGAAGTAAACTAGCAGGGAGTTTTGATATAGACAGTACCCTGCACGTGGGCCTTCAGAGCCAACAAGCAGCGCGGACATGAAGCGACAAAGTGAGAAGAGCCCACCAACACCCAGAGGTGGAGCTTCCTACTCCTCATTTCACAGACGGGAGAACCTAGGGCCCCAAGTCGAAAAGTGACCGCCCTGAGTCCAACCACCTTAGCCTCAGACAAGGTCTGATCCCTCTGTCCTTTTCTCTCATGGCATTTAATAGTTTATATATTTGTGACGAAGGCCCTGGCCTCAACCCTATAACAGATGGCTCACTGTGGCTGGCAGGTGGCTCGCATAAAGCAGCAGCTCCTCCTGTTTGCATTGTGCTAGAACATTTGGGGAAGGGACATTCCCTGGCAGGGAGCCTTCCCTGGTCCCAGAAGTCATGAGGCAGGTAAGCCCATTGCAGATAAACATGTGCCTTCCCTCACTGCTGTCACATGCACGGGGCCATGTACTACAAAGGAATCCTCACCGCCTTCTCCCAGTTCACAAATGGGGAAACGGCCACCTGGGGATGAAAGACTTACCTTTCCCAGTGATCTGGATTTTCTTTACCCATTTTCCTGAGTTAAATCTTATCATTCAGGGACGATGTGTTGGAGGTTGGAAGCAGATGTTACTTGCAAACAACCTATCCCCACAAGTCTGAATTCTGGAAAGGAGGAAGTCCCCCAAGTTGGGGGTAAGGGGATGGGTCAGTAGGTTCTGGGAACAGCTGGGATGGGAATCTCCTCCAGAAAGACCACATGGGCCGTGAGAGGCCAGACCCCAGGCACCGGAACTCGCGGTAGTGGAAACCGCCGCCCTGCCAAAGCTGGTGCTTGGCAGTGACCGTGAAGGGGAACACGAGAAGGTCGTGCTGTTTGCCAGGGAACGGGCAGTTCCCTTGAATCCTGTGTGACTGTAGGGAAGGCCAGGGATTGAGTTTCCTGTGAGGTGATGGGACGGAGAACACACTAATTTGACTTAAAAGGATAAGTAATTTGACATTATTCCCATTCCCAAACATTACACAGCACTGCCCACTGTGGGCAGCTCCACGAACTCAGAGCAAAAGGTAGCCCTTACAGGAAGGCAGATTTATTTTCTGTAAAGCAAAGACTCCCTCGCAGTTACTACTGTCCAACAATGGAGCTTTCCTGTGTGTTTCCTCCCCACTAAAATAATAACAGAACTGACTGTAAAGGATTCTTCAGAGCAGCCGTGGCTAACCTTTCAGACCTCATGGACCACCAGTAGGTCCATAGGCCACCGGTTGGCAACCGCTGGTTTAGAGGATTAATCATCTATAATAATAAAAACGTAATATGCTAATTAGATCAGATTTCCTCCCGGACGAAGCCCGGGCTGCGAGGGAAGCCTAGGTCCCAGATGCCAGAGGGAAGGCGGTGCCAGCGACCAGGGGAAGGAAGGCCTACTCCTGCATGAATTTCGTGCCTTGGCCTCTAGTGTATCAATATGTAAGGAGCTAAGAAGTGCCTACCTAGCATGTAGCAGATGCTCAGTAAACTTACTTTTACTGGTCAGAGCAGGTACTCTCTTCCCTTGCTACACTTCAAATATTCTTTTCGGAAAACACTTGGAAGCCTGAGTTAAATACTTTAAAAAGGTTCACATTTGGTTTCCTGAAGTTCAAATGGTCTCCTGAAGACAGAGTTATGAAGAAAGATTCATCACAGCTTTCCTCATAAATGAAAAATAGATTTTATGTGGCTCTTCCACAAAATATCACCCATCAATTTTATCTCCCTAAACAACTCACCTTGGTTCTCCTCTGTGCTTTCACAACTACACTTTAGGACCCCATCATTGCTCATCACCAGCCTCCTCCAGTGGATGAACTTAATTGGACAGTTCTGCCTTTTGACCCCTCACCCCCCACCCAACAGCAATCTGAATGGCATCCTCAGTGATCTTGCTTGAGTGCAAACCTGATCTATAGTAGTTCCTCAATTCAGGCTCACGGGTGGCCAAGGGGCCAAAACTAGCTGGCAGCTTTTTGTTTAGTTCTAATGTGTCTTTAGGCAGCCAGGTACCACATGCCCTACCACTTACTATTGTCTCTAGTGATTGCACTCATTCAGATTTACACTTTCTACCTGCCTGGCCCCTTTAAGATCTGAATCTGTCAACACTTGACCTACAGTATACAACTCAAATCAGGCAGCTGGGATGATCTAAAATGAAGACAAGGCCACATTTTTGCCTTGCTGGGCTCAAAAAATGGAGCTATTTCATTGGTATACTTTATTAATTCAGGAATTATTTATTGTGTACTTACTATGTGTCCAGCACTGTTCTAGATGCCAGGGACACTATAGTGAACAAAACAGACCCATGTCGCTGCCTTCACAAAGCTTACATTTGATGAGAGGAGACTAGGCCTGTGGGGATAAAGCAGAGTGTAGTAGGGGCCACTTCAGACAAGTGGTTCCGGGAAGGCCCACGGAGAGGAAAGCATGTGCTATAAGGTACAAGGGGGAGGGTGGGTAGAGGAAAGAGATCAACCAAAGAACTTGTTTATGCTTAACCCAGTGGCCGGCAAACCGCGGCTCGCGAGCCACATGCGGCTCTTTGGCCCCTAGAGTGTGGCTCTTCCACAAAATATCACAGCCTGGGCGAGTCTAGAAGAAGTGGCGTTAGAAGAAGTTTAAGTTTAAAAAATTTGGCTCTCAAAAGAAATTTCAATCATTGTACTGTTGATATTTGGCTCTGTTGTACTATTGATATTTGGTTCTTATTGAGTTTGCCGACCACTGGCTTAACCCATGGACACGGGCAATAGGTGGTAAAGGCCTGGGGCAGAGCAGGGGTGGGCTGGAAGAGGATAGTAAGGGTTAAAGGGGGACATATATAATACTTTCAACAATAAAGATTTTTTTAAAAGACATCAAGGGAGAATGAATTCCAGACCGAAGTAGATATAGTGGCCCTGGAATGCTAGGGGGCAGTCCCCTCCAATACCTTAGTTGAATCCTAGTGGTCCTTAAATCAGCTCAAATGCCATGTTTTCCAAGAAAATGTTTCCATTATCTTTCCCAGGCAGAATGATATTCTTCCTCCCATTCTTATGTATATCTCAGATAGTTTCATGAATCTGTCATTTATACATATTGTCCTCAAAACTATTCATTTAAAAACATTACCTTAAGAAGAAGCAAATGTGAGAAGCACTCTTGATGATCTCTGACCTCATTCTCGTAATCACAGCGTGATTGGAATTCTTTTAAAGAAAGGTTTGGGAATCAAAGTGCAGATTTAAGTTTATTAGTTAGAGCAGGTTGGGCAAATCCCTTTGCCTTTCTTAAGCCACCATTTGTGCAATGGTAAAGTACTGTAATGGGAAAAAGCACCACAAAAGCTCCATGAAAGCACATAGTAGGCCCTCAGTAAGCAATAGCGCTTTTCTTTCTTGGAAAGCAAACTGCTTTCCATGCTTTACCTCCAATGGCAGTTGTTACCACAAGAGGGCACTATCTGCACAGCTGGGAGAGCATGGCTCCTTGGCCTCAGATTCCATCAGCTACCAGCTCACACCTAAGCTTGAAATCCATGGTGTGTGGACTCTGATTGTAGAATGGCACTGGACATGCATATAGTGGTGATGACCCATCAAGTCTGTTGTGAGCAGAGCAGGAGAAACAAGGACCTAGTATGGTGGTAAAAAGCAAAGGTCTTTTGAGTCAGACTGCTTAGGGTTTAAATATGGGTTCACCAACCACACTGGACAGTTCTCTCTTACTGAGCTTCATCTGTGCAATGTGGTTGTGCCAGGCCTCCATCAGGCTGGGTGCTGGCCCAGTGAGCTCAGTCTGGCTGGCAGCTGGATGAGCGAATACAGGTGATGAGAGCGCAGGGAAGAAGTCCGGGAGGTACCTGACAACTGCTCACCTGCAGTGGATGCACAAGCCAGCTCTTGGCTCTGCTCCTCTCAATGGTGCTTCTTCTCTGGAGTCCCCTGAGTGCAAAAGCCAAGCAAGACAAGAAGCCAGCAAAGAGCTAAGTGAAAGAAAGAAAGTAAAACTAGGAGCACTTTTAAAAGTTGTTTAAAACACATTCTTTACCCTAGCTGGTTTGGCTCATGGGATAGATTGTCGGCCTGAGGACAGAAGGGTCCTGGGTTTGATTCCAGTCAAGGGCACATACCTCAATTGCAGGCTCAATCCACAGCCCTGGTTGGGGCACATGCAGGAGGCAACCAGTCAATGTGTCTCTTACATCGATGTTTCTCTCTCTTGGTATCTCCTCTCCCACTCTCTCTCTCAAAAAAAAAAAAAAAAAATCAATGGAAAGATATTTTTGGGTGAGGATTAACAATAACAAAAATAAAAACATGCTTTAAGGACCTCTTCAACAAAAGGTGTCAAGAAAACTGGATATTCACATGCAAATGAATGGAGGTGGACCCTTACATTATACCACATATAAAAACTAACTAAAAATGGATCCACAACTTAAATGTAAGACCTAAAATTATAAAACTCTTGGTAGAAGAAATAGGGGGAAAGCTTCATAACAATGGATTTGGCAATTAACTCTTAGATATGACACCAAAAGCATAGTCAATAAAATAAATGGCACAATATCAAAATTTATCATTGTGCATCAAAGGACACAACAAGAGTGATAAAAAAGGCAACCTACAGAATAAAAGAAAATATTTGCAAATAATTTATCTGATGAGGCTAAAACCTAATCTATAAGGAACTCTTACAACTCAACAACAACAAAAATCCAATTTTAAAAAAATATAGACTCAAATAGACATTTCTCCAAAGAAAGCATATAAATAGACAACAAACGTAAGAAAAGATGCTCAGCACCACCTAATTAACAGGAAAATACAAATCAAAACCACAATGAGAGATCACCTCACACTCACTGAGATGGCTACTCTCAATAAAATGAGTGGTGGCAAGGATGTGGGGAAATTGAAACACTGTGCACTACTAGTGTGAATGTAAAATAGCACAGCCACATGGAAAGCAGTGTGGCAGTTCCTCAAAATGTTAAAATAGAATTACCATTCGACCCAACAATTCCAAAATAACTGAAAGCATATTTGCGTAGCCATTACCATGGATTTTGTGTGCCCTAATTCATATGCTACAATAAATCCCTAATCCTGTCCTGGCCGGGTAGCTCAGTTGGTTATAGTGTCATCCAGATATTCCAAGGTTGCAGGCTCGATCCTCAGGGCACATATGAGAATCAACGAATGAGTGCATAAATAAATGGAACAACAAATCCATGCTTCTCTCTCTCTCTCAAAAAAAAAAAAAAAATCAATAAATTCTTTATATAAAAATAACCCTACTCCTCAATGTGATGGTATTTGGAGATGGGGCCTTTGAGAGGTAATTAGGTAATGAGGGAGGAGCCCTCCTGATAGGATTAGTGCCCTAAGAAGAGGCAGAATACAGCTCGCTGCCTCTCTCTGCTCTCCACCCTTGAGGCTACGAGAAGACTGGACATCTCCAAACCCAGAAGTGTGCTCTCACCAGACCTCAATCTGCCGGCACCTTGGCCTTGCCCATCTCTCTAAAACTGTGAGAAATAAATGTTTGCTGGTTAAGGCACCCAGCCGGTGGTAATTCGATACAGCAGTCCAAACTTGTTACCGAAGGAAGAGGTTCATTCGCCTGCAGGCGTCAAAGCCCAGCAGGCAGGAACAGGAGTCTGCAGCCAAGGTGAGGATTTCTAAAGGAGATGGCGCCAGGCCTGGAGACACAGGTAGCTCATACTCAAATACTTGGCTCCCCGATAGCTTCCGTGGGGGGCGGAGGATTACCCAGGGGAAAAGCCATTAATCATGGTGACTAAAGGAGGTAGGGTTGTGGTCTCTACTGATTGGTTGGTGCCAGGATGTGGTAATTGGTCACTGCGGTCAGTTCTCCTGTCAGCCATGGAGTTGCTCTATCCAACTTCACAAGGATTTGTTCTGTGGAGTCATTCCACTTTCCTATTCTGGAGCTAAAACACAACTGAGGCCAAGATATTTCTCTTGATTGAAAACCCTGTCTCAATAGTCAAGAGACCCAGGGGCATGTTCCTAAGACTACTGGATGCTGACCAGAACCTCACTGTCCTGAGGGCTTAATGATTAAGCAAGGGAGAGTGGGGGTGGGTGAGTCAGGGCAGGGTGCTAGGTGAGGCCAGTTTGAGTCAAAGGGAAAAAATCAGATAAAAGGAAATAAGGGTTCTGCGTGGTTACAAACGGACTAAGACATCCACGTTCAGAAGCTTTCACAATCGCCAGAAGGTAGAAGCAACCCAAGCATCGATCAATGAATGAACAGATAAATAAAACGTTGCAGATCCATGTGTTCAGAAAAAAAAAAAAAGTATTTATTTGACAACTTTACAAAAATATTTAGGCACATAATTTTCATGTTTATGTCACCTGGTTTTACATATCTCAATCCTCAGTACCTCTTAAAAACACTAAAATGGTCATTTGGTAAATAGAATCTATACTGAAAAAATACTATAATAGGCCAACATTTGTAGGCAAAAATCAGTTGATCATCAGCACGAGAAAGCAACATTATGAACAACAGAATCTCTAAAAACATTTCTGTGAGACCATAAATCTAACCAGTAGATTTATTTTAAAAGTATTTTCAAACAAGAAAGCTAAAAAAAAACAAACAAAAAAACACCCGACCAAAGAGTATCTCCTCACTCCATGAGGAAGCGGGGTCCTCACAGGAAGCACGAGCAGGAGGTTCAGGGAAGGTGCCAGAGGTTCGCCAACGCCAACAGCCCAGAGGAACCCGGACGCGGACGCAGACGCAGACGCAGACGCAGACGGAGCGCGTGGCCCAGGCCTTTCACTCGGAGAAAAGAAGGAGGAATGACGGGCATGCAAACAGCCACCCCAAAGAGACAAACTGGAAACGCTTTAACCGAATCACCATTCTGATGTGTATCTTCCTAGGGTAACGTAATTTTTGTTTCTTCAAATTTACTGTAAATATATAATTAATTTTGTCATTAAAAAAAAAAAAAAACAAGTGGAATCACCTGCATCACACAACGGCCACAATGATATCCGATAGGAATTTGAAAAGACACTATTATTTAAGCATTCTGGAAGCAAACAAAGTACAGGTCACATTTTGCAAGAAATACGCACACTGTCTAGGGCCTCTAGCATTCAAAGAACACAACGTAAGAAACTTGTTTTGCCTAAAGTCTCACCATACGATGACAGTAACAAAATCTGCCAATGTATCCTAGGCATTGTGCTGAGTAGTTTTGCATCCAACACCTCATTTCTTTTGAATATTATTATGAGGAGGGACTAATCATACGATGTTATGGGGAAGCAAGAAAACACGGTTAATGGAGGAGGGACTCAGGGTAGTCATGGAATTCTAATAGCCTGGCACATCTCAGAGCTAAAAGACTAGTATAAATCATAAAAGTACTCTGAGAGTGAAAAAAAGCTTCAGCTTTATGGGTGGGCCACCCCTAATCACTGATACTGATAAATCACTGACCCCTTCTACTGCTTCTCTCAGTTAGGGTCTTGCCAAAGAATACAAGCAAGAAACATGTCCTTTTCCCCAGAGCTCTGTGTTGTCTATTGCTTTGATAGGATTTCAGTTTTACTTGTTTATGACAAAAATAAAGTTGTTTTAAGAGTAAAGCTGCTTTGCCCTAGCTCAGTGGTCGGCAAACTGCAGCTCACGAGCAGTGGTTTGCCGCTCTGTTGACTAATGAGTTTGCCAACCACTGGGATAGGGGTTTAATCACAAAGAACAACAGCAGCCTGTAATTACTGGAATCAAGAGTCTAGGTCAGTGGTTGGCAAACTCATTAGTCAACAGAGCGGCAAACCTCCACTCGCAAGCTACATAGCTACAGTTTGCTGACCACTACCCTAACTGGTTTGGTTCAATGGATAGAGCGTCAGCCTGTGGACTAAAGGGTCCCGGGTTCGATTCCAGTCAAGGGCACATGCCTGAGTTACAGGCTATAACCCTAGTAGGGGGTGTGCAGGAGGCAGCCAATCAGGGATTCTCTCTCATCATTGATGTTTCTCTCTCTCTCCCCCTCTCCCTTCCTCTCCGGTCAATAAAAATGTTTGTTTTTTTAAATAGTAAAGCTGTTTTGATATAAAAGAGAAGTAAGATGTGTCATGATCACATATCTCAGCTGTTGAGGAGCGTCCCTGGGGCCCTGGCAATAAAAAACACCCCAAGAGGAAGCAATTAGTGAAGGCCTACTTAGACGATACACAGCCTGCGTGTTTGTGCAGAGTTTATGAGGTCTATTAGGAAGTTCTCTCTGGGCAAGGAGACCCTTTGCTGAACTAAATAGCACTCCCGAGACCTCTGGGCACTAGCTCCCCACGGTAATGGAGACTCTGACCAGCAGTGACAAGAGCCTGGAGCAGCCTCTCAGAGGACTTCTTGCAGGCCAACTAGTGCCATCATTCCCCAACAATCTGCCCTAGCAACCAGAGATCCGTTTTGTGCTGGCAGCTGGAAGGCACTCTGTTGATGAAGCTGTCTCTCCCAAGAACCCACTTTACAGAAAAGATACACCTCACTAGATTTGGGCTTTATTTCACTCGCCTTCCCTTGCCTGGAACAATGGTGCAACTAATCTATCATTGCTTCGGAGCATGTTGTTTTGTTATGGGCTTAGGAAATTTTTATAATTCCCACAGTGAACATGTGTGAAATAAAATACTGGCAAACCAATCTTAGTCTCTGAGCATAACGTAGCCACCCAAAACAAAACACTGAGCGTAACGACTGGCATAAAATAGACGCACAGTGCCCTAACCGGTTTGGCTCAGTGGATAGAGCGTCAGCCTGCGAACTAAAAGGCCCCAGGTTCAGTTCTGGTCAAGAGCATGTATGTTGGTTGCAGGCACATCCCCAGTAGGGGATGTGCAGGAGGCAGCTGAATGATATTTCTCTCTCATCAATGTATCTAACTCTCTATCCTTCTCCCTTTCTCTCTGTAAAAAAAAAAAAAAAAAAAAAAAAAAAATCAGTAAAATATATTTTTTTAAAAATAGATGCACAGTAAATCTTTGCTCACTGACTAAGGCCATGATATCAAAGGAAAGGCAGGCCTAAATTCCTAGGTACTACTCCAAACCAGTCAAATGTGTGAAATCTTCTTATTCTTTCCATGAAGATCAGATATCAGCTTTACTGACCTGAACGTTCCATGGATTTCTGACACAATAGGACTACCGAAAACTTTTCACCTACACGCAAGATGGATCCTACAAATGACTGACTGATAAAGTCAACAGCCATGTGAGGTGACTAACAATCACCGGACATGTTATGTTGGTCATGGGTAGCCTCAGCCTCCAAAGTCATTTGAATCAATCCGGCACTGATAAAAGCAAACTGGCCAAAGCGGACTCTACTGTCATTAACTCAAAAAGACAAACTAGTAGTCAGAGATTTTTGCTTTAAAAGAATTCTCTCCACAGCTGTCTCACAGAGCACATTACAGACTAAACTCAACACTGCCGCTTTTTCCTCCCAGGAGGTAGTTAACAGGTCAGAGAATGTTCGATCTTGCAAAATATCAACCTCAGGATACACTCCAGACAGCCGGGTGATGCCATAGCTCTAGGTAAGTCTCTAGGGTACTGCTGTAACCGAGGGGCACATAATGGACGCAAACTCCAAAAATGGCTGGCCAGTTCTGTCCTTGCTCAGACAGAGCTCTCAAAAAGATCCCAACTTCCCCAGGCTGCCTCCTCTTACCCTGAAATGTGGATGGCAGTTGAAGGGAGCATCCAGAAATCAGAACAGGTACAGGACAGGATCTATAAATTGTCCTACAGGTCAGTCAGTTCGGCATAGGGTAGGGGCCCTGAGACCATGTGCATTTAGCAAAGCTGTAACGTATACATGCTTTTCCCATATTAACCTGGAGAGATGGAGGATCTTCAAGGGAACCTAACCCCAAGAAGAAATTCAAGTCCTGGTGGGGTTCTAGTTCAACACCTCTGAACACATCCAAAGGCCTTTCATGATGAGAAATTCTGCAACACAAACTATTTCTAATGTCCAAGTTCTTTCATGTGGCTAGTAGGAAAAGGAACAGAGCTGCTAAAATTAGGTCTCACAACGCCTTTCCACTGTGCCCAGGCAAACCCAGGCAGTGACAGGCAGCAGTCACAGCCAGAGTGCGGATCAGCTGGGGCCAGCCTGGGAGTTAGAAGAGAGCTCTGGCATATAGAGGGATCCGTCATTCTCCCTGATGTGCAAAGCCTATTCCTCTCTGACTAAAATTCAATCGACTGCTTGCCTCAAGCTAATCCAGCTAGCACCCCCTTTTCCTTACTCCCTCTTATAGGACAGGTAACTTATGGCAGCATGGTACAATGGAAAAAACATACGTTTAGACTAATTAGCAAATCACCTACTTCTGTTGAGTCTTGTTTTCTCATTGGTAAAACAGGGACAGTAAGAACCATCTTACAGTAGATAATGTCCTATGCTCCCACAGAATTTCCTCAGATCAGCTGATATGGAGGGGGGTGGGGGGGGGGGAAGAAGAGTGAGCTTTAGGAACTCTTACATGGAGCTTATAACTTGGAAGTTGGCTGTGAGGCTAATTCTGGGGACCCAGCACCACTGGCCAGGCTTTAATAAAGACAAAGCAAAATAAGGGAAAAGCATAAATATGACCTCCATCAAAAATATCAACAGATCAAAACATTCCAGGGGCCATGCCGAGACACCAAATTATTCATTGTTTAGATCAGAGGAGCCCAGTGGATTCCACACCCGACGAACTAAAGGTAGTGTGTGCACCAGGCACCCGGCCTCCTGCATACTCACTGCACAACTGGCTGAGCAAACACTCATCCCCAAAGTCAGCGGCTGTGTCTGAACAAAGTCACAGGGCTGTGAACTGAACACCCCGGCCCACCCAAAGAGGCAATGCAATGTCATTCTCCCAGAATGCAGCACTAGGCTTGAGAGAAGCTGGTGTCCTCAGTACATCAGCGGAAGGACGAGGACGGCAGAATGTAGGTGGGAGTGGCCACCGGAGAGAGGTGTATTCATGCCATCAGGAGCAAGAAGGTGACAGCTCTCACATCAACCAGACCTCAACCCCACACACACGCACCTAACCAGCCTTTCCCCTCAAGCCAATCCATTCATGTTGATTTAAAGAGGGGTAAGAAGAGTATCGGCTAAACCCAGAGAAGGGAGGCAGGGGGAGGTACACAGGGGTCACCTGGCCTGCCTGCCTGCCATGCTCACTCAGGGAAGGGCCTCGCTGCATGGTTCACAAAATGCACTTCTTCATGCGCATCTGACCCCACACCTCGGTGTGTGGTTTCACACCGCTGTGGGCTGGGTGGGACGGGTGTTCCCAACCCCACCCCACCCGTAGACTTGCAGTGTCAGAGAACTGGATGAAGTTCTACGACTTGCTCTCAGTCACATGTGCCGAATGGATGGATCAAGCTAAGTTCTCCTGCCTAACCTCACTCAGTCACTACGGCCGAGGTGAGATCATTCAACGACTTCCAGAAAACTCTGTGTCCCCAGCACTTAGGGATAAGGCCTGGCACGTGTTACACACTCACCACATGTTAGGTGGATGAACGAAGCAGATAGATAAGTGCTTCCTGCAGCACTTCATTATCCCCCTCCCACACAACCCAGAGGCAGCAGCAAGTTTTCAAGGAATGCACTCTGCTCATCCCAGGACTTCTCAGGAAAGCCCACATGCAGAGCAATACACCTCACAGCCCCACCTTTTTTTTTTTTTTTTTTAAGAGCCAAAGTTGTAGCCTTTGGCAAATGCGGCGACGATATCCTCAGGAAGAAAATGCAATCGTTAAGAAATGTAACTCAGAGAAGAGACACTGCCCGCACTCCACTGCATCCCCCGCGGAAGGAGGGCTGGACCTGCCTCCAGACGCAGCAGCGACGTGAACAAGGAGGCTCCGGTCGGAGCGCGTTATAGATGCAGCTCTCAGGGATACCTGGGTATTAAAATATGGAATGCAACAGTTTCCAAACACGGGTGGTTGGTTCACTGTCGGCACAGAAGAAAAATAAATTAAAAAGCCCGGTGCATTTTCCAGTCTGATATAAATTAATTCAAATGGCACAATTAAAATAGAGTCCATTATAAGTTTCTCTCATAAAATGTTAAAAGGCAGCAATCAATCCTCAGATTGTGTAAGTGCAAAGGAATGGTATTTTCTCCATAATCGAGACACCTCCGAGTCTGTGTGAGAATTGCCAGTGTTCCAAGCGGACCAAAGTCTCAGGCCTACGTCGCCGAAGCCATCCTCTGGTCATACCGCTCCTTTCCCCTTGATGTCCAGCTTGTTACTGGCCTCCGACTGTTTGCTCAGCTGCTCTTCAGAGAAAGTGATGTAGGAATACACCAGGCTCCCAGCAATACTGCAAAAAATAGAAAACCACCATCAGGGAGTGAGGAAGGGACGGCAAATGCAAGGGAGACGGAGGTGAGGGAGGAGTCACCTGTATAAATCAACGGCCCATAAAATGAAAACATGCAGCATTTTCACCTGAGGCCCTCCCCTGTCCTGGTATTATCCACTGCTGTTGACGCTCTGGGAAGATGAATGTTTGCACAGACTTGTCAACAGGACTGTCAATTTTATACAAGCTTTTTGGGAAGACAATTTGTTGAAATCAAAAGCTTTTAAAATTATGCATATCCTTTGACCTAGCCATCTATTTCATTGATGAATTGTGCACATCTCCTTAGACTTACCAGCAAAGTATTTATCACATCATTTATCACAGCAGAAAATTAAAGGGTAAATGTCCCACAGTGAGGAATTATGTAAATTCATACAACAGAATACCATGCATCCATTAAAATGATGTAAAATAAAAACAGGCAATGACATCTTAAGTGAAATAAATCTCACAAAACTTTAATTATTATCCAATCCCATTTTATTTAAATGAACAAGAGTGTGTATATTGATATGTACCAGAATCAAGGCTGGAAGGAACACAAGAATATTAACAAGGGTTACGCCTGGATGGTGAGGTTATAGGTGACTTCGTTATTCATATTTTCTGCATTTCTAAAGATAATCATTCCAGGCAAATGTTATTTTTAATAAAAATCACTGCAATGAATACGTAAGCATGCGGATGCTGGGAGATTCAGAGCTGGTTTTCCTCTGACTAGAATCACATCCGCAGTGGAAAACCCACTGTCTGAGCTCTCAGCCTCTGGTGCCCTTCACTTGTCCACCACACCTCCTACCAGGAGGGTTCACTCTTTGGGGACGGGGATTGCTCTTATCTGTTCTCTGTGGGGGCCTCAACCCCACCTGCGACGCACAGCTTCCTGCCTGATTCGCTGAACGGAGAGTCAGTGGAGGAGCTCAGAGACGGCCCTGGCCTGCGGGGCCTGCTCTCCCGCTGAGCCTGCCCCCATGGCTCCCCTGGGTCTCCCGCTGGCAGGCTGGCCTGGGCTCTGCTTTCAGACGTCCTTGCCCTAGGTTTGACCCCAATCTTCTGCTTGACCACTTGGCTCATAAACGTGCTGCATTTATTTGAAATGAGTCCCTTTTTCCCCTGGGGTTTGGTGAGAGGTGCCTCGCCCCCGAAGTAAGGATGACCAGGCACTTCACAGCACTTAGTAATCAAATGGTGGCCCTTTATTCAACTCTATTACATGTCACGTTACTTTATACACATCTGCTGTTGCAATATTCCTGCAAGGTACAATCTCTCTGCAGATGAGAAAAAAATCCAGAGGCAAAAGAGAACGCGCTCAGGGCCACAAAGCATCCCAATGATGGACCAGAGTAGAACCCCGTCAGTGCAATGTTTCCACTGGATGCTGCAGGTGCCTGTTGTTATTTTGTTCCCATCAGCCTATAAATTTCCCAAGGCCTCCCTCTCAGCTCGACAGAGTCCCTGGCACTTTGTGGCAGCTCAGTAAATAACTGCTGAACGATGTCCGTATGGCCCTGTGCACAGAAAGGAACCTCGCGAGCCCAATCTTCTCATCTGGTAACTTTACTCCACATATTCTTCTTTTTTGAATTTTATCTCACTTCTGGAAACTTTTTAATTCTCTAGTGCACCAAGTAGATAATTTTGCCTGGCTGCTGGGGCTAGGACCTACGGAGATGGTTTGCTATGTAGCCTTTGGACTGAGGCTAAATATTCTTGAGGTTCACTGTACCAACAAAGTATTTATCACATCATTTAATTGACTACATGGTAGTCAATTTCCACCAACCCCACTCCATGCCCCAACACAGTGGAAGGACTGCTCCTTCTTTCTGTCATCCTATTCTCCTCTAGGTTCCCACTCACATGACAACCTATTTTTCCTGTCAGGATTATCTTTGACGCTCCTGTTACGCCAGCTTCACCTGGATAGGAATAATGAAGCAATGCATGCTAGAAGACAAGGACCTTATTCCAGGCTTAGTCCTTATGGAGACCCAGGACCCTATGCTGTCAGTGCAGTTAGTGTAATGAAAAATCAATGACTGTGGAGATAGGCCTTGGTTCAATCTGGAATATACTGCTACCTCTGTGTCCCTAGGTAAATTTGTTAAGGTATCTGAGATTCTATTTTCTGAATTAATAAAATAAGAATAATACTACCATCCAGCCAGCATGTGTCAGTGGTTGAACATCAACCTATGAACCAGGAGGTCAAGGTTCAATTCCCAGTCAGGGCACAGGCTTGGGTTGCGGGCTCGATCCTAAGTGTGAGGCATGCAGGAGGCAGCCTATCAATGATTCTTTCTCATCATTGATGTTTCTTTCTCTCTCTCTCCCTCTCCCTACCTCTCTGAAATCAATAAAAATATATATTTTTAAAAAAAGAATAATATTATCTATCTAGGCTGGTTTGAGGATTGAGATAGCATGTATAAAGAATAAATAGCTTATATAGCTAAGATTTGGAAACGGCCTAAGTGCCCATCAGCAGATTAGTGGATTAAAAAACTGTGGTACATGCCAAAACTGGTTTGGCTTACTGGATAGAGCGTCGGTCTATGGACTAAAGGTCCCAGGTTCGATTCCGGTCAAGGGCATGTACATTGGTTGCGGGCACATCCCCAGTAGAAGGTGTGCAGGAGGCAGCTGGTTGATGTTTCTAACACTCTATCCCTCTTACTTCCTCTCTGTAAAAAAAATCAATAAAATATATTTAAAAAACAAACAAAGTGTGGTACATCTATACAATGGAATACTAAGCTGCTATAAAAAGGAACTCCTACTATTTGCAACAGCATGGATGGACCTGTAAAACAGTATGCTAAGCAAAATAAGTCAGTTGTAGAAAGATAAATATCACATGATCTCACTCATTTGTGGAATATAATGAACAACAGAAAATGCTGAACAAAAACAGATCCAGAGACAGAGAAGCACTGATTAGACTGTCAAACCTCAGAAGGAAGGTAGGGGAAGGTGGGGGGAGGGGAGGAGGAAATGTCAAAAGGACTTGCATACATACATATAAGCCTAACCAATGGATACAGACAACAGGGGGATGAAGGCATGAGTGTGTGTGCGTGTGTGTGAGTGTGTGTGTGTGTGTGGGGGGGGGAGACAGGACAATGGGGGATAAGGTCACATATGTAATACCTTAATCAATAAAGAAAACAAAAATAAAAATAAAATAAAAAGAACCAGGCCCTAATCCTGGCACACAGTTAAGCAATTAAGAAATATTAGCCGAAACCAGTTTGGCTCAGTGGACAGAGTGTTGGTCTGCGGACTGAAAGGTCCCAGGTTAGATTCCGGTCAAGGGCATGTACCTTGGTTGCGGGCACATCCCCAGTAGGGGGTGTGCAAGAGGCAGTTGGTCGATGTTTCTCTCTCATCCATGTTTCTAGCTCTCTATCCCTCTCCCTTCCTCTCTGTAAAAAAATCAATAAAATATATATATATAAAAAAAAGAAATATTAATTCCCTCCTCTGACAACTCACCGACCAGAGGCAAAATGCAATGTTAACAAAGGAAGGGTGGTATAATCAGAGTTAACCTGATGCAAGAGGGCACCCTGTTGCCACATATCCAGCGCAAAACCACACACAGAGACTACTGAACTCTGGAGAATGAAGAGCACAGCCTGGTCAGAGTCTCACAAGCTCCAACAAGAGGCAGTACAAGACTTTCCATCTCATCTTTATGTCTGACTTGATCATTATCAGGTATGTAAATTTTCAGAAATGACCTTTTCTGAATCGTCTGAAGAGAACTGAATATTCATCAATAAGGATACCATGTGCCGAGCAGTCATGAGTTAATGCTTTGGAAAGGATTACCATACAGTTGCCCCATAAACAACTTGGGGGGTAAGGGGTGCCAAAAATCCACATATAACTTTGGATGCCCCCAAAACGTTACTAATAGCCTGCTGTTGACTGGAAGCCTTACAAAAAATATACACAGTTGATGAACACATATTTGGTATGTTGTAAGCGTTATATACTATTAGAGGCCTGGTGCATGAATTCATGCACTGGGGGGGGGGGGGGGTCCCTTGGCCTGGATGGCGATCAGGGCCGATTGGGGCTGGCCAGCAGGGGGAGGGACCACAGGAGTTTGGCTGGCTGAGGGAGCCTGGCTGTGGGAGCACACTGACCACCAGAGGGCAGCTCCTACGTTGAGCATCATCATAGCGACTGGTCAGAGCATCATCATAGCGACTGGTCAACTGGTTGTAACAGTCACTTAGGCTTTTATATATATAGATAATCCTATATAGTGAAGAGGTAATATGCAAATTGACCCTCACATCCTCACATCACAAGATGGCTGCCCCCATGTTGTCACAAGATGGTTGCCCCCACATTGTCACAAGATGGCTGGCAGGGGAGGGCAGTTGGGGATGACCAGGTCTGCAGGGGAGGGCAGTTGGGGGTGACTGGGCTGGCAGGGAAGCAGTTAGGTGTCAATCATGCTTGCAGGGGATTGGTTAAGTGTCAATCGTGGTTAGGGGGCTATTAGGCTGGCAGGCAGAATGATTAGGGGCAATCAGGCAGCCAGGCATGCGAGTGGTTAGGAGCTAGCAGTCCCAGATTCTGAGAGGGATGTCCCAGATTGGAGAGGGCTGGGCTGAGGGACACTACCCACAACCCCCCCCCCCCCCCCCCGGTGCACAAATTTTGTGCACTGGGCCTCAAGTCTTACAATAAAGTAAGATAGAAGAGAAAGAACAGTTCTAGTACTTACATATTTATTGAAAAATTGACAGACAAGTGGACCAACAGAGTCCAGACCTGTGCTATTCAAGGGTAAACTGTAAAACTGCTTCCTGGCAACTTTGGGGATGCAGGGAAACTGGGAGGAGGGGAAGAGGAGGATGGAAAAGAGAAAGGGAAAGCCTAGATTTGGAGCAGAGCAGGGAGACCTATATCTGAATTTTCATACATCAGTACCATGATTGTGAACCAGGATCTTCTACTGCTTCCAAAAAAAAAAACAAAAAACCCAACTTCTCATTAATCTGGCTGCATAAACATTCACATGGAATTTGACAACTTCTGAATATATAAACTGGTGTTTATATATTCAACCGTTCTAAATATTCATTTTTAAAATCTCAAGCAATTCTCCAGCTGCCTAATATTCACCTCACATAGTATTACCAAATTCAATGAGACTGTGGCAGACACCACCAGGAGATAAACAGAAGAAAAAAGGCAAAGCTACTGTGCCCTGCAGATAGGGGTCTCCTTAGAATAATGCAGAAAAGACTGGGAAGTGCTGAGCAGTGTCCCTCCTCGGCTCTGGTCCACTTCTGATCTTCCAAAGCCATGCAAATGCAACCTGCCTCTCCTAGACCGAGAGCCATGCACACGTTTTCCAGCCACAGAGAAGTAGACAGCCATTCACAAATGCAATCTAAAATGCCTTCAGCAGAGCCACTTCATGGCCAGGCACTGAGTCCTCCAGTCCAACTGTCCCCTCTCTTCTTGTGGTCCATAGTGTGCTCCTCCACCCCATCTCATTTCATTCACCCCACTCCACCACACCGGCCTCTTTGCTGTTCTGTGAACACACCAGGCACACTCCCACTTCAGGGCCTTTCTCTTTTTTTAATGTTTTTTTTATTGATTTCAGAGAAAGAGAGAGAGACACGGGGGAGAGAGAGATAGAAAGATCAGTGATGAGAGCCTCTTTGCTTGGCTGTCTCCTGCATGCCCCTTACCAGGGACGGAGCCCGAAACCTGGTCATGTGCCTTGACTGGGAATCGAACCGTGACCTCCTGGTTCATGTGTTGATGCTCAACCACTGAGCCACACCCGCTGGGCCACTTCAGGGCCTTTTCACTTGCTCTTCCCTCCAGAAATCAACGTGGCTCATCCCCTCCATTTTTTAGGTCTTTACATAAAATATAACCTTTCAGCAGGTGCCCCCACCCCTGAAATACTCCCTATCCCCCCTGCCCTGCTTAATTTTTCTGGAAAACTATTTAGCAGAGCTAACATTTATTGCCAGCACGTAGTTCATTCATTTCTCTCTTCCTTCATTTTCTGTTTCCTCTATTAGAAGGAAAACTCCATGAAGGGAAAGGTTTTGATCAGTGTGATAGCACCTCTATCGCCTCTGCCTACAATGTTTGTACTTTGTAGGTACCTATCGGGTCTAGTAATAATTAATGTCGTTTTTAAACATTCGTTTAAAATCTTGCTTGGCGTTGACTTGTATTGACATAACCTTCAAACACGTGGTATTTACAGAACATGTGAAGTGCAATTAACAAGTTTTGCTTGAAAAAGTTTGTGTTTGGTTTGGTTTTTGTTGCAAAACTAGGGCTAAGAAGATGGCGGATGAAGAGCATATTCGGCACTGCATGCTTTACGAGTTCCAATTAGGAAGAAAAGCAAGTGAGGCTGCAAAAAACATCTGTAGTGCTCTTGGTCAAGATGCAGTTAGCGCCAGAAAATGCCAGCGTTGGTTTGAGAAATTTCGCGAGGGAAATTTTTCGTTAGATGACAAGAGTGGTCGAGGCCGTGTGTCC